ATATTTGTGGGCATACGATAACTTAAGCAATGACTCTGGACATTGAGTCCTTGGTGATAACAAGGTCAAAGGCGTATGTTTAATACACCAACTAGCACCATGTCACTAAACTTAGTTTTTAAGGTAATGAATAGCACTTCTGCATAGGACTATTTAAGATATGTCATAAATCACACACATACCAAAAAAGGACAAGCGAAAGAATGTGAAAAGGTCGGTACAAACCCAGTACCATAATTAAGAGGAAGGAGGGAGAAAGATGGGCTACAAACAGAAGGTGAATCATCATTTTTAGTATGAAAAGCAATGTGAGGCTGAGATTATTTGAGGAAGGGAGGAGATGTTCATCTCAGTGGTACTCATTGTTTCTAATCTAACTATCACATTACATTAATCTTAAATTTTCTTACTTTTTCACACAAGGGTTTTTGTTCATTATTTTAGTACTCCTTCACTTTACATGGCGTCCTATAGAGAGATTAGTTGAAGCTAATTGTTTTACTATTTGGAACTACAGGGATTGTTCAAATCCATCTATTTTATAATTCTTCGGTGTAGGCTAAAACTAGTTGAATCTCTGAAACTATCTATCATTTCTTTATTCCTCTTTCAATCGCCATATATAATTGTTGCCCAGCTGAATCACACTTTTAATCATGCTTTCTATTTATTTTTACTGATTTTGCTCAGAAGTTAAAGCATTAATCTTGCACCAGAGTTTCACTCTGACATATGAGTCCCCTTTATGATTGGTCTTTAAGGGAGAGAGTGAAGCAAGCAATAGAGAAAATATGTGAGATGCTTTCATGTTATCCCATTGCAGTAGTCACTTCTGAGAGGCTGCAAAAAACTTTAAAGTTTTAATCTAAAAAAATGTAATGTCAATAAATATCATCAACACAGGCTTGGCTATAGTAGCATAGCGAGATGGAGAATTTAAATCAAAATTAACATATATTCAAATATCCACAACATTTTAAATGTAAATAAAAAGTATTAATGATAGTATCTCAAACAAACATATTTCTACATTACCGAAATTTCTAACATTTCCTATTTTTATTTGGTATTTGAAATATTCTACAACACTTTTTATGTTTTCTGCAAAGTTTATTCACAAACAAGAAGGTGCATTTTTGGTAAGAGCTGCTAAATGTGGGGGTGATAAAAAAAATTTATCTTAGACTAACACTAACTTAGTCTTTCAGTTTTCTCCTGCATTTATACAGATTGTTTCCATGTAATTTAAAATATTGCTACTATAATATTATTATTATCCTCATCCTCAGTGTCTGGATTTAAAATATTTTTCTTAGGAGAAAAAAGTTATGCTGTAAACTATAGACTTACTCTTTGCAATTACATTTAATTGGGACAAATTCATTTGTCCCAATACCCAAATACAAGTGATAGTTGTTATGCACACTTGAAAATACAGATTAACGTAATTATTTTTAAGATGGAGGGGTGAACTACAAATTAAACTGTTGAACTTGTATGTAAGGGGAATGAAATTACCCTTTAAACTGTAACCAGAAAATCAATTATATTGAATTAAAGCGGAGATTCCCAGTCACTCAGTGAGTCACTGGCTCTGAGAACAGACTTCAGGCTCACATATAATATTTGAAGGTATAAATATATGGGGAAATAGTTTCCAAGAGAAGATCCCTGCTATATCTGACATGTGCTGGCACAGAACATATGACAAAGAAGCCCCATTTCCTGGAGAGAGTGTGATTATGGGACAGGTGGGATGTCACTGAAGGAGAGGAAGGAGGGGAGATACTTTTTCTGGGCTGTGAAGGAAGACTTTCGCAGCCTGAGAAGAGTGTGGATTGTAGTATATAATCTAGATCGCGGGGCCAGGAACAACTTTAATCATGCTACAAATGAGGACAAAGGAGAAACAAACAGCAACAAAAAACTCAGTTCAGGTGAGATGAAAAACTCAGAGATGTTGTAAGGAACCCAGGGACCCACCGAGCAGCGTCTTGCCCCCAGGAGATTAGCGGGGGTACGTTGTAGAGCACCAACAGCCATAACCACATCATTAGCACGTTGTGTGCATTGACTTTCAATAGGGCCCAACTCTGTTTCTCACCACTTCCACGTAAGCCCACACCACCATTCTCTCTCATAAAGACACTGCCACAGTCGGCAGCCACCCTAGTCCCTCCATCCGCGTTCCTCACAGCAGCCAGAGAACGTGGAAAATGTAAACGGGATCATGCCACTCCGCTGACCCCTTGAAATCAATTCCAAATTCCTCACCATGGCCTTAGAGGCTCCGTATACAACCCCACCACGTCCCGCACCACTCCCTCTGTCTCTCGTGCGGATTCTGTCCTCCAGCCACATGGATTTCCTCATTGCTCCATGACTACCTGAAGCTCGTTCCTGCCGCTTGGAGCCTGTCCCTGCCCCTGGAATGCTCTCCCTTCGGGTGTGCACGGGGTTCCCTCTGCCTTACCTGGCTCTGTTCAAATGTGAGGTCTTCAGAGAGAACGCCCCTGACCGCCTTACTTGAAAAGACGCCCTCCAACCGAAAGCACTGCCTGCCTCTTTACTCTGCTTTTTACTTATAGTATTTGTCATGATCTGAAATGATTTTATATATATATATATATATATATATATATATATATATATATATATACATACACACACACACACACACACGAGTATATATGTGCATGCATGCATGTATATACATACATATGTATACTTATATATAGTTTGTTTTATTTTGTCTTATTTTTTTACTCTATTATTGGCTGTCTCTTGTCTCCTCCTCTGAAATATACACTCAGGAAAGCAGAGAACAACTTTTTGACTTTGGTAGGTGCCACATTAAATTAGCTATAATTATTACTGTCTTTTACTAGTTTTTCACCCACTTTGCACTAAGTTGGTGTAATCTTTTTCATTATAATTTAACTTCCATTGAATCTTCCTGCAGGAAAAAAGTATTTTCATCCAGAAATTTTTTAAAATTCTGATTTCTTTGATAGGGGTGTTGTAAATTGATAAATTAATATTTTGTCTTATAAGTATTATTTTATTAACTTGGCTGGCGCCCTTTCCTAAGAGAGTCATCCACTCTTGTGATGGAGGCAAAGATACAAATAAGACCCTTATGTTGCCTCTTGACAGCCAATGATCCACCTCTACCTGTCTGCAAGCATTTTTTTTAATGAATCTTTTTAATATCATCACATTAACCATTTCAATTTACTTATTTATTACCTCTGAGTAGGAAGGGAGAAGTTGTATAAATAGATTTTTATCAGTAGAGGTACTTTTTTTTTCAGAGATCTCTTTCTGCCTTTTTTTTTTTAGTTTTCAATGACTTTGATTTAAATATAATAAAGAATCCAGTTTTTAAAACTTTCAAGTAACACAATTATCCTTGAGTTTAACACATAGGAATGTCAAAAGTCTAACCATTTGCCTCCATCAAGATGAAATCTGTTAGATCCTTATTAAAATTATAACACATGATTGATAGCAACAGACTCAAGTCTGTTTTATCACAGTTTTCTTATATCATACCTAGCATTTCTATCTGTTACAACTACCTGGAATCAAATTAAGACCAGGATTCCTATCAGACACAATATGTAGTGACGCCATTTCTATGAAGTTAAAATTCATACCAAGGATAAAAGTTCACATACAGGCAAACTGCAGCAGATTTCACTGAAAGTAGCAAGGACTATTTCAGCTTTTTCAATTTCCAAGAATAGTAAGGCTATTTCCTAGATCCTGACAGATTTTAAATTGCCATACCTTTTGCTGAGGCCATCTCTCATTTTTGGTAATTGAAGAAATATTTATGTCAACTTCCTGACTGAGCTTCTAGCATGTTATTAAAGGAAAACTTAGGTATTTCTTCTCATGTATTCTTTATTATTTCCATACCTTTAAATAAGTCAGTCCAGTGACCACAAGATCATGATTAGAGTGCCCATTACAATGCCTCACTCATAGAAGCTGTTCATTAAATATGTATTGAGTGAAAGAAAGAATAAATGATAGAAATGAGTACATAAATTCATTAGAAATCTCAAAAACATCTTAGTAAAAAATGTCACACATAAGCTTTATCCTTTACAGTGAGAGAGAGTTAATGAGATTGTTAAGCAATAGAAGATATAATGGGGATCTGATGAATTTTTGTTCTAAAACAAAGCTGTTAAAAATGCTTTAAATATAATTTCTGATCATTTATAATTTATCCTGCTTTATAGTATTGCTATGTCCTCATATACATTAAAATATATGAAAAGTGATTAAGAGAAAATCCTTTGAAACTTACGGTCAATAAATTCTGTAAAGTAATTAGCAAAGATTCAGAAGGATTCCGCGATTGGGTCTATAAATACCAAGTGAAGGTATTTAGGAAATAAAGGGACAACATGTGGGTATAAACATGAAGTTGGTGGTCAGAGATACCCAAAAATGGGCAAAATGAGAGACACCAGCAGAACTGGTCAAATTTGTCAAGCATAGATTTTATACACTTTGCTCCTGTTTTCCTTTTTGTCTTCTATTGGCCTGTTTTTTGACGGGGTGTCACTGGTTGGCATTACCAGGAGGGTTCCTCAATTCACAGTGGAACAGAGATAACCATTTCCAATATCATACTAAAAGCACTAATTTTTAAAAATCCTGGAACAAATCACAAAATCTGCAGGTTTAAGAATTACTCAAACACAAATTTGAATCTCATTTACTAGATAGATTCCTAAAGGCAAGTCACTTCAACCCCCTTAATCTCAAGCATTTCATTTGTAAAATAGGGATAATGCCCATTTCATAGGCTAGTTATGAGGAAGAAATGAAACACCTGGTGTAGCCTGGAGCTTAAATTCTCAATAAATGGTGGTTTATTGTTGTTTTTAAATTATTTTTAGAGTTGGTATTATTTTATTTTGGCTCATCTCTACACTGACATCATACCATTAAATGCCAAACTGCCTAGAAACAGAACTTACCCACAAAGAGTTGACTGTTAAGCTGCAAAAGGACATGCCCATCAGCTGGAGCAGGCTGTATCTTTGGTAAGAGGTGATCCACTTGGATAGACGCCTCTTTCATATTCCTTTCAACTCTAACGTGGTGCCACTGGTTGTCATTGAAGTGAGTGGGTGACTGCACTGAGATTTCAAAAGGCCCATTCCCCACATCAAATGAAAAAGTCACTAGTGCCGGAGCTGGAAATATATGTCAAGATTGTTCAAGTTAGGCCATGTGGGGAGAGCTGAGTCTTCAACATACTTAGGAGCAGCACCATAGCATAGCAATCGCAAAACATAAAGGTAATGATTTGAATTTTATGGGAGCAACCAATGACAGACATCGGTAAAGGGTAAGTGTGGAAGGAGATGGTACAATACATTTGTATTTTGGGGGAAAAGAACAAATTTTAAGAAATTCATCCTCAGAGTTAAATTTTTATACTGATAAAAAGTAAAGCTAGGGCTGGTCGAGTGGCTCAGTTGGTTAAGAGCTTGCTCAAGAGTACCAGCTCTGAGCAACTAGCGGTTCAATTCCCAGCCCGAGCTGAGCTGCCACCAGGTGACAGGATGGCTCAGCTAAAAAAAAAGTAAAGCTATTTAGCCAGGGCAAGAGAACAAAATAGCACTTTATAAAAAAATAATTTTACAGTGAACCAAAGTTTATATAAATTTTAAAGTATACAATATACATGTGATATTAAGATACTAATAGCAGCCTAAGAGTATATCAAAATGATATGACTGGTTAATTTAAGTAATTTTATAATTAATTAAGAACTTCAGTTTTTAAAATTTTTAATTATTTGAATTTAAAATGCTCCTTAAATTGGTTCTAGAGAATACAATCATTTCCCCCAAATTATCACAGGTTAAATATTTTCTTGCAGAAAGACTAACAATACCATAGAATTTTTTCAAAGGGACGCAATGAAAAGATTCAAATGATAAAGTAGAAACATAGTACTTTAAAAATTAATTAAAGGGTTACTATTAAATAGAATCCCATAGATTTCTCTGGAAAAGGGGACTTACAGCGTAGCTCTATCCGTATGAAATCGGTAATCCCCAGGTTTTCTAAAAAGACCCCAGATGAAGCTGTGGTCTTAAAAAAGAAAGACACATCTGCACTAAGTTCTCCATGGAAAGTAGGAAAATGAAGGTATGAAGCCTCAGTATTGAAGGAGGCAGAATTCCAAAATGACCCTGGTTTAAAAGAAAAAAGAAAAAAGAAGAAAACAAATCATGACATAAAATGAATGGCATAATTACATATTCTGTTTTTAGCATTGTTACTATTAAAATATTGTTAATTCATACAAGCCTACTTTTCTTCTATTGAGAATATCATGCTAAGCAAAATAAGTCAGATCGAAAAAGTCAAGAACCATATGATTTCCCTCATATGTGGGATATAAAACTGAAAGCAACAAAGGAACAAGGTAAACAAGCAAAAACTCATAGACACAACAGTTTAGTGGTTACCAGAGGGAAAAGGGGATTGGAGGGGAGGGTAGAAAAGGGCAAAAGGGGTCAAATATATGGTGATGGAAAAAGACCTGACTCTGGGTGGTGAACACAATATACAGATGATGTATTATAGAATTGTACACTTGAAACCTATTTGATTTTATTAACCAGAGTCACCCTAATATAATATTTAATTACAAAAATTAACTACATAGTAGACATGAGCACGTGATTGGAGATTTTACAAGGATTGAAATTCTGGAATCCTGCCAACATAGGCAAGGAATGAGCCCTACGGAAACGGTCTAAGTGTTGTATTTGATATAAGAAAAACACCTTCAACCTAATTGCCATCTTTTGCCAAAGTAATATGATAAGGATCTGCCAAACATTAATTCATAGACTTGTTTTATAACTTGAAATTTTAAACACCCATATTACTTTGAATAACAAAACCCTAAAGAAGCTCAAAGTGGCTTTTGTTCTAACACTTCTGACACACACTTCACAAAGTTAAACTGTTTTCATTAATGAGACTTGTGATTTTCTAAACTGAGATTTGCATTCAAAATATTCTCATCTAATCAAAGATCAAGACACTACTTACTCTGTGCTATGCTGATATTCTCATGAAAATGCTCTTTTTATTCAAAATGATTATTTACTTTGCTTATAGTAGTGAAGTAGATAAATAGTAGGAAAATTGTTCTCAAAGTTTTAGAATGCTCAGAATAAGGAGAAATATAGAAAAGGTTGGAGTATAAATAAAGAGATCTGGAAAAACTTATGTGGACTATCATGTCTTATCTTCACTTTCCCATTCATTTTTTGTTATATCTACAACCTTCCTTTTGAATAAATATTGTGGGTCCATATGGAAAAGTATGGAAAATAAAATATAAGCACAGTTGCATGAAGTAACAGGCATGAAATCCAACTGGATATGTGTGGTTGATGAGACTCATTATCAGAAAAATAAATTATGCACTGCTGCTGACACCAGCAAGTTCTTGACACATCCCATATAAAATATACATCTTTAGTTTTAAGCTATTGCTTCTATACGCACACACACACACACACACACACACTGGATAAAATTCTAAATAAATTAGCTTCCTGGAAGAAAGACATAGCAGTCCCCACCTTATCTGCAATTTTAGTTACCCATGGTCAATCATGATCCAAAAATATTACATGGAAAATTCCAGAAATAAATAATTCATAAGTTTTAAATTGTGTGCCATTCTGAGTAGTGTGACAAAATCTTGCACCACCATCCCTCTCTATCCCACCTAGGACGTGAATCATTCCTTTGTCCAGCATCTTCACACTGTATACACTATCCACCCGTTAGTCACTGAGTAGCCCTCTCAGCTATCAGACTGGTTGAGAGAGAGAGAGAGAGAGAGAGAGAGAGAGAGAGAGAGAGAGAGAGAGAGAGAGAGAGAGACCAGATGCCAATAATTTTTATTACAATATATTGTTATAATTATTCTATGTTATTATGAATTATTGTTGCTAATCTCTCACTGCGCCTAATTTACAAATTAAACTTTATCATAGGTATGTATGTATGGAAAAAAACCATAATCTATAGGGTTCAGTACTATCTGCAGTTTCATGCATCTACTGGGACTCTTTGAATGTATCCCCTGCAGATAAGGGGGGACTTCCATATTGATTCTCTGAAGCTAGAAAACAGTAATTGGAAAAAAAAATACTGTTCATTATGCCTGCAAAGAATAGATCCCTCGCTGGACTTAAAAACCACAAACTTGATTCAGCTTCTATTTGTTCTTTAGATTTTAATTGATTTTTCTACAAATTCTGGACTAAACAAGCAGTGCTTATATCTACAGTCATGCATTGCTTAACGACAGGGATTCATTCTGAGAAATGTGTCATTAGGTGATTCTGTCCTTCTGTAAACATCACTTACACAAACCTAGATGGCACAGCCTATTGCTCCTAGGCTACAAGCCTGTACAGTTTGTTACTGTACTGACTACTGTAGGCAATTGTAACACATTGGTAAGTAATTGTGTATCTAGATATATCTGAACATAGAAAAGGTACAGTAAAAATCAGTATAGAAGATTAAAAAAAAATAGTATGCCTGGATAGGGTACTTAACATGAACGGAGCTTGCAGGACTGGCAGTTGCTCTGGGAGAGTGAGTGAGTGAGTGAGTGAGTGAGTGAGTGAGTGAGGGGGAGTGAACGTGAAGGGCTAGGTAGGACAGGACTGTACATGGCTGTAGACTTTACAAAGACTGTCTCACAAGTCCTTCCCCTGCTTCCTTCCAACAGGGTCAGAAATGGGACATCAAAGCTTCCAGTGCTGCTCCATGAACAAGGATGCGGGGTGGGCTGATTGGAAATATCGAGGAGAAACTGGCTGGGTCAGGCATAGGTCACCATAATAGTGACTGTCAGGAGGGGGTGAAAGGGGGCCTGAGGGTCAGAAGGAATAAGAAGTTGAGGTGGAGAGATAAAGGAACATGGGGTTGTCATGGCAATGTGGTTTTGGCAGTTGTATTTGGAGCAATGGTCAGATTAAGAAACTTTGTGGTATACATAAAAAAAGAGGGTGCTTAACATGAAGAAGGTGTAGAACTGAGGACTCAGAATTTTGACTTTGGAAATTTGTTTTTGGTTCCATTGACCCTATCTGGTAGTAAGGGCTCTCTCTTGCATTGAATTGATGGAAGAAATAAAACTTACCTCTGCTTTATACCATTACAACCTGAAAATATTTCCAACATACAGGGACAGGCTGGCTCCACACTACCACAGAAAGCTTTCACTACAGTGGCAGTGGCCCTTAATACTTGTTCAGGTCGCTCCTGTGGACCTGTGTCCTTGTACAGGATCTTGGGTCCTCAACGAAGAATTTACAGCAGTGCACTCTGCAGACCATCACACCAGCTCTGGGAGGGCCGGAGCGCCCTAAGTATGTGCTGCCGGGGGCCAGGTTCCTCTGTGCTGGGACAGGTCAGTGGCTGACTGACCGGGAAGAAATCTGCACACTCAAAATTGAACGAGTGAGAGGAAATCTATTGTCAAGCCCCACAGATATTACTCCCATCAGAGAAAAAAAAAAAAACAAAAACAGAAAACAAACAAAAAAACCCCCTCCTGAACCACATATCCTTCCATTTCTTACAGGAAATTCAGCCCCATTACAATGTCATGGGACCGCGGTCATGTATGCCGTCCATCGTTGACTGAACCATCGTTATGTGACACATGGCTGTATTTTAATTTTTGCTTTTCTTATGGGCCTGATTCAAAAGTCAAATCTCAGATAATACGTGGACAATTGCACAGTTGAATTTATGCAGCTGAGAGTATACTTCAAGGTCAAGGGCTTGTTTTTTCCTAATGCCAAATTAAACTGTATATTATATTAGTATGTCAAGCTGAGTCCTTATTTTCATTTTACAGCTATTTCTAAACTTAGACATTTTTATCTCTAGGAAAGAATCCAAGAAAATGCAAAATATCAAGTCAGAGATAACACCACATTTGTGTTCTTAAAAGTTCCTATCTGACCGATTTTTAGAGGGAATTAACTGCCTTTCTGTTGAAATGTTATATTATTAAAATAAAGCTGTAACTTTAAATTATGGAATATTATTAAATCTTACTTATTTGGTCTGATTAGAAAGAGGAACACTCAAAATTACTTAAAGGACTAAATTAGATCATATTATTATATGACATAATATTTCATTTGTTTCATTTTTATATCATGGCTGAGGGATAGGCTCCTAATAAGACATCCTATAGGAGCTTTCAGGCAACTCGTTGAAACAGGGGACCAATTCTTTGAATTGCTGCTATCTTTATAATGAATACTTTTATAGTAATGAAAACAATTTATTACCTTTGGTACCTTAAACACTCTCACACAGAATAGTACCCATTTTATCTCGTTACCAAACCTTATTTTCCAGATTCACAATAGGTAAAAAATGATGGAAGAATATTTTATTGGAAGAAGAAATCGCTGCTAATTCAAAATGATTATAAAGGAAGCAAAGGCCAATATTTCTATGATCAAATAATGCTAGGATACCTCAGCTCTTTACAGACTGTGCTAAAAAACACCCAGGAGGCTCTGGGGTGCCTCAGAGAAAGGAGGGGCCAGGAAGAGGCAGAGCAGAGCTCAGCAGGCTGGCACCAGCAGGAAGCCGCAGGTTTTTGAAGAGAGATTCCTTGGTCAAGGCGGTTTAAAAATCCCTAAACCGCCCCAGTAGCAGATCTAAAAGCAATCACTTATTGTACGAATGCTAGTCAGAAGAGTAAGACCTCCTTTTATCGTCCCAACATAAACAAATCATGATGTATTATTCTAAGTAATTAAGTAATAATTACTAATAATTAATAAAAGTAATTATGAATTAATATGTTTTAAATTAAATTCAATATTGGGTACTAGAGATTCAGGGAGATTCCTTCAGGAATGCCACCTTTTGTCTTTCCAGAATTAAAAAGATTGTAATGGATAATGGGATCTATATAGTCATTTACATAAAAGAGGAAGATGTACTAAGTATTTAATTACCAACATAAAGTAAAAAGAGCCTGTTAGGAAAATTAACATAGCAGAATGTTAAGATTACCAGTAATTTAAAAAAAATATTTGTTTTGCTAAACTTTTATTTATGTTATTAATAGATGATCCTTTTAAAAATAACTTATAGAAACAGAAAGTAGATTATTGTTTTC